AAACCGGTTTCCGTTTCGGTCCTAGTGCTCAACCAAATCCATTTAATGTAGCGTAATATTGTTTTTGGACGGAAAAAAGTGAAGGGGACCGAAACTGCCTTTTGAAAAAGTGGGGGGGACATGTCCCACCCGTCCCCCCCCAAAATTACGTCCCAGTGTGTGTGTGTTTGTATATATAGATTTATATATATATATGTCTGTGTGTATATATATAAGTATATATATATACATATATATACTTATATATATACTTATATACATATATATATAAGTGTATATATACACTTATATAAATATAAGTATATATGTATATACTTATATATATATAAGTGTATATACACACACACTTAATTGCGCACACCTGTCCATCTGCTCTTTAACGCAAATTACTGATCAGCCATTCACATGGTAGCAACTCATATGCATTTCAGCTCAAACCGAGCTTCAGAATGATGAAGAAAGGTGAATTAATGACTTTGATCGTGGCATGGTTGTCGGTGCCAGACGGGCTGGTCTGAGTCTTTCAGAAACTGCTGATGTTCTGGGGATTGTCACCCACAACCATCTCTAGGGTTTACAGAGAACAGTCCCAAGAAAGGAAAACAACTAGTGAGTAGCAGTTGTTTGGGTGAAAATGCCTTGTTGATGTCAGAGGAGAACAAGCTCTACTTACTACCGGCAATGCAGACCAAGCTCTGATACCGGTCATACCTAACAGCCCATATCAGAGGGTCTGGTACCCCATCCTCTCAAAGTACCCCCCAAAGTGCCTCCTGAGGGACGCAGTCGAACGCCTTCTCCAAATCCACAAAACCCATGTAGATTGGTTGGGCAAACTCCCACTCACCATCCAGGACCCCCCTAAGGGTACAGAGCTGGTCCAGTGTTCCACGGCTAGTACGAAAAGCACATTGATGCTCCTGAATCTGAGTTTGGACTATCTGACAGATCCTCCTCTCCAGAACCCCTGAATAGACCTCACAGGGAGGCTCAGGAGTGTGATCCCTCTGTAGTTGCAACCCATCCTACAGCCCCCCTTTGAAAATAGGGGGACCATCACCCTTGGTCTGCCAATGCGGTGGAACAGCCCCCGATGCATGCGATATTGCAGCCAACATGACTCCAGCGCATCCAGAGCCTTAAAGAACTCTGGGCAGACCTCATCCACCCCTGGAGACTTGCCCCAGAGATTGTAGCACCCAACCCAAAGTCCCCGGACTCTGCTTCCTCACAGGAAGAGGTGCTGGTGGGATCGGGGAAGTCCTCGAAGCACTCCACTTACTGATCCACCACGTCCCGAGTCGAGGTCAGCAGTACACCTATGAGATCCTATTAAACCCAAATTGCTAGCTGAAATGAAAAATGCTGCAAATCAAAGCTCAGCACGTTTATAGCCATTTACCTAACACAACATTTAGACTGCAGGAGTTTGTCAGAGACTTGAACCCAGGAGGCACCAGGGGTGCTGCCTTTAGCTGCTGCTGGTTCTAACCACAGATTTCCATCAGTAAACATGTTGCGTAAAAATCAGTGACAGCTTATAGGGTTATGAAACAGTGGTTATGCAAACAGGTAGGAAATGTTGGCGCTTTAGGCCATCCATACATTTTGGTTTAGGCTGAACTCAGTCCTGAAGCACGTAAGCTGCCTTTCTCTAAATGGAGGCTGTTCTGGAAGCTGTGTATAATTAGTTCAATATTAGTTATTAGTAACTTATACATAGAAACATCATTCAAAATGCCTGACTAATGTGTTTGCTGAAAATGAATATCCCTGATTATTTAAATCTTTAAATTAAAAGCATGAAGTCTCTTATTACCATGAGTATTTCCTCATAATTAGTGGTCAGAGTCACAAGAGTGACCAGATGCTGATGTGGGATACGTGGAGATGAATATTCCATTAAAACCGCTCTGTTTCTAATATAAGGGGTATCGTTCTAAATCTCATCAGCTTCTGAAGGACAAGCAAGCTGAGCGGGCTCAGAGTGACAATACAAACTCACACAGCTGCTGCCTTTTCAGCTTCACGTCATGTTGTTGTAAACTCATCTGATTTTATGTCAAACTTCACATTAAATTTCCATCGCTGCCTCTACTTTAGATGTCTAGTCTGCAGACTGAGTCGTGTGGACTGGATGAGCTGTTAGATGAGAGGAGCAGAACCATGATGAGATCTTCATCATGCACTGTGGGAAAAATCTGGAAAACACCACATTCCTTCTACGTTCCAGATCATTTAGGAGAAACTTCAGTAACTCTCCTCTGCTAACGTAGTCCTTCGTAAAATGGAGCTCAGGGAGAATTTCTGATGTGTGTGCCGAGTGAGCCGGCTCACCAGCCAGCTGTCCGTCTTGTTTCTGGGATGTAAGTCAAACGGCTCCAGAGCTGTTGAAGGATGGATATTTCCTCCCAAACACACACATCTCTTCACACTGTCTCCTTTTTCATGATAAACCTGGCAGGAAAACAGTGACTTCGTCTAAAATGTGAGGAAAAATATAAACCAGTAGCCAAAAGTTAAGACGATAACTGTGTTGGTTTAAAAAAGTTTGCTGCTTCAAGCGTCTTAGATCTTGTAGCAACATTAAATGATGCAACATGTCAATGTAAGCAGTGTTGGCTCTTTTTCTAGATTCTGGTATACTATCAGTCAACTTCTGTTGTAAATCCTAACTAACAGCAGCTCATCCTTCATCTGAATTGTGTGTAGGTTTTGTTCGTCCTCCTGTCTCTTGAGGATTGATCACTAGTTCTCTGTAGGATTCAGGTCTGGGGTCTTTTCTAGACCTGGAACCACTATGCTGATGTTTAGTTCCTTGAGCCACAGTCAAATATTCACATGTTATTGATACAGTTAGAAGTCCACGGTACCATCTGACTCTAAACACCGGTGGTGACTCCACCAGAGATAACATCCAGCAGCCGCCTGCAGACCAAGAAGCCTCATCACATGTGACTTGTGAACCAGCCTTCAGAGGAAAGCCTGTAACACGGGGCAGGGTCAGTCCACATCCCCTAGCTGCACTAACCAACGCACATGCATGCGCGCACACACACACTTTCAACCTGTAGACATACTTAGACAGTCTTGATTTACACACTCGCACACATGCATCCAAATTGTTTCATCAGCAGCTGGCTGCAGCACAAACTTCATTTCCACTAAATCTAATTCTCGACCGAAAAAGGGTGGTTTGCCAACTCCGGGTCGAGAGAGAGGTCCTACCTCAAGTGGAGGAGTTTAAATATCTCTGTGTCTTGTTCACGAGTGAGGGTAGGAGGGATCGGGAGATCGACAGGCAGATTGGTTCAGCAACTGCAGTGATGTGGGGCTCAGCCTTAGAGATAGGGTGAGGAGCTCGGACATTCGGGAGGGACTCGGAGTAGAACCGCTGCTCCTCCGGATCGAAAGGAGTCAGTTGAGGTGGTTTGGGCATCTGGTCAGGTTGCCTCCTGGATGCCTCCCCGGGGAGGTGTTTCGGGCATGTCCTGCCAGCAGGAGGCCCCCGGGTCGACCCAGGACACGTTGGAGAGGTTACATCTCCAATCTGGTCTGGGAACACCTCTCCCTTTACTACCAGAAGTGTCTTTATTTTGTCCTGATACCTCAAACCTTCAAATTGGAAGAAAGGTGGGTTTTTAAACCATGGGGAGCTGGTGGAGGTGGCCGGGGAGAGGATCGTCTGGAGCTCCCTAGTTGGGATGCTGCCCCCGCGACCCGGACCCGGATAAATGGAGGAAGATGACGACGATGACTAATAATGGCAGAAGCAATGTCACTGATGTAATCAGTCCCCAGACTGTCAACTCACTGTGTGTGTGTGTGTGTGTGTGTGTGTGTGTGTGTGTGTGTGTGTGTGTGTGTGTGTGTGTGTGTGTGTGTGTGTGCGTGCGTGTGCGTGCGTGTCTGTGTGTGTGTGTGTGTGTGCGTGCGTGTGTGTGCGCGCGTGCGTGCGTGCGTGTGTGTGATTATGGCACACCATGTGTCTGAATGCCAGTGTGAGTGCCATGCACGACTGTGTACCAGTGAGAGCCGTTTATTAGGCCTGTTTCTACAGACATTAGCAATGATTGTCTGGTTAAAACAAATCTAAATTAAATGTTTTTATCTAGAAGCAGCATAACAGCAATTAAAATACCCAAAAGTCCCCAGGTGCACAGATGCACACGTCTTTCACTATGACCAACTTCAGATGCATCAATAATAATACAGTCGTGTGTACGGTCACTGTCGTATATCTGGATTTGTCTGGTTTTCTCAGTGAGTGTTTAAGCAGGAAACTCGAAAAGGCCTCAGGTTGTTCCTCTTTCTGGTTGAAAGTGGAATTACAACTGTTTTAAACAACCCTGCCACAGCCTGCTAGTGCTAACAATGAGCTAATGCTAACAGGAGACAACTGATACTAAATAAGCCACAAAGTAAAAAGACCCACACTGTTGGACAAAAATATTATTACATACAAGTCCAGTAGCAACACAGCCAGGTCACCATCGGTCTGTGATTTCATAGGCTAATTCAGATCCCTCAATAGTGTAGACCGCGTCGATGTTCACTCTAATTGCAGCTCTTCGCTTCACCTCTGAATATATTACTCTCTTACTTTTACTTCTGGGCTTTACCATGGTGCCGGACAATCAGCAAACTAAAAGCTAACTGCTAGCCTTTATATTAGCTACTGACACAGTAAACAGCTGTTCAGTAGGAACACACTCTTTAGTTTAACAACTCTTGGGAAATGTAGATCAGTGTCTCACCAAATCTATTAAGAGCAAACGATGGTTTCAGAAGGGTATCTTGAGTCATGATTAGACATTTTGTTGTAGAACATGAGAACAGTTGGGTGGTCCTTCAAACACCTGACAGCTCTGATCTCTAACCCTGTCCAACACTAACATCTATGTGGAAAATGGTGGTAAGACTGAAGAACAGACTGGTGGTGTTTATCAGTGTTTTGAACTCTTTCTGTCTGACACACCAAATCCCTTCCTATTGTTCAGTGGCGCCAGGCAGACACCATCAAACCTCTGGGCAAGGTGACGCTGGCGCAGGAGCAGGACTACACAGGCCTCATCGTGGGCTGTGTGTGTGTCAGCTCGCTGCTTCTGCTGCTGGGAACGCTGCTCATGTGGAGGAGGAACAAGCACATCGAAGGTAAGAGCTGAGGCTTCAGTCTGGATTCTGAGGGCCTGCTTCGCTCCAGCTGTGGTGACAGGGTGAATGTGAATATAGGAACATATGGAGACAGTGAGAAGGAGACCATCAAAATACACATTTGGATTTTCAGTCCAATAAAACAAATATTTATTTTATTTAATGTTTATCTAAGACTTGGAGTCTGGAGGGATCACAGTGAGATCAGTCCTGCTCCTCGTCGAGTTGCATCACTTTAATGAACAACCTGTTAATAAAATATTCAAAGAACCTGGAACTGATGCATTATAGATTTCCTTGACAAATAATTTGTTTAATGCACTTTCGTCATCCAGCAGCGGGGGGGGGGGGGGGGGGGGCAGACAGAGAGATATTAATAATTATCTAAAATCATGTGGTGAACAAAGGGCAGAGCTCGGTCTTCTGCCTGAAGGAAGCAGGGTGAATGGATGATGATTAAAACACACACAAAGCAATACTAGTCATGTTTATATGTGTGTGTTTTTACATTTGCATCATTTAGACACAATGGTCTACCTCCTCTGTCGCCCGAGTGTGTCTGCTGGGTTTGTACTGCCTGGTGGGTTCTAGGATGCTGATGTTTGGGCCGCTCTGGGGAAAACACTTTGCCTTTTCTCTGTAATTCATCTCTCCCTCATCTTCTGTCCTTCTCTTTCTTTGTTTCTTCATTTCCTCTGCTCTCTTTATCTTGATCCCATCACCCCCGTTTCCTTGCACTCCTCTGCCTTTGTCTCCAGATCTGTCAGAGGTGTGGTATGATGGCCGGGGTCACATCCAGCATCTGGACCGGCTGGCTAATGCGAGGAGCATCAGCCCCACTAACGAAATGGTGTCCCACGAGTCAGTCGACTATAGAACAACCCTGCTGGATGGTACGTCAGGCAGATAAGCTCCTCTCCCACCTTGTCTCCTCTTCTCGCTCCCATCTACCTTCCCTGTTGAGCTGAGTGCTACATTAGCATGCTTCACTGTACGTGTTTTATACTAACCCTAGCAGCTTTCAGCCAATTAAAAACCACAAATGCTCTTGTCACACTACATGTATGAATATCTCTTTATGGACTACATTCATAAGAGGCTGCCTGGTAAAGACAAAGTTACATTATTGTTACCAGTCACTCTGAGTTTCACATGCAGACCTGCTTCAGCTTCTGATAGAAAACAGACGGTGAAACTCTAGGATTAGAAAATCCCGACGGATCTACGTCACACCGTCACTAACATTCATGGACTCACCCACCTTGACTTGCAGCGGGGAAGGCTGTTGTTGGTTTAGCGTGCAGGAGAGATCAGCACTCCTTTGGCTAGTAGAAACTGTTAGCATTAGCAACTCCATCACACAGCAGAACTCCTCCAGGTTTGTGTTATTTGTGGAGATAAAACATTTGCAAAGCAAACTGAGACGCGTTGCTGTTAACCAATCAGAGGCAGGATGTCCGAAAATTCAGGAAATAAGACTCCAAACCCTGCTCTTCTCTGTCCCCATCCCCTCGTCCCGACTAACTTCTAGTTCCTGCAACACGAGTGCCAGAGCTCCTGTTTCAGAAACAGTAACAGTTATTGTTTACGCTCACCAGATTTATAAGGTGGTTTAATTGAGGTGATCTGTGTAGATAAACTGTCTCCCTACACTGTGATCCTCTACAGAAATGTCATGTTCTGTGTCCCTCTGTCCCCAGCCTCCTCCTGTTCTCACTCCAGGTTCTCCTCTTGTGTCCCATTACTATCCCCAGCCCTCTCTAGACTTCCCTCAGGTGTCCTCCTAATCACTCCCTATTCCTAGTCAATCTTATTTTAGTCCTCCTCATCCATCTAGTTATTAGTTATTTATTTTTGTCCCTCAGTCTTTAGGTTTAGTTTTATCCTTGTGTTATAGGTTAAGGTTTATCTGCCGTCCTGCTTGTTTCTTTCCCCTCATTCAGGGTTTTGTACGCACCTGCCTTGCCTCCAGCTCTCACTACTCACACCTGTCACCTGTTTCCCTCTGTGTGTATAACCCTGTCTGTGTCCAGTGTGGTTGGTTCATTGTAATTGTCAGCGTGTTCTGTCCTCCTCTAGTTACCCTAGTTCGTGCTCATGAGTGAGCTTCTGTTTGTTTGTTTGTTCAGTGAGTTTGATATTAAGTCGGGTTTGTTATTGTGCCTCTGGACTTTGGTGCATCCGCCTTTAAAAATAGCGGAAGTATTCTCTCAGACCTCTCCTGCCTTGAGTCGTTCTGGGGATTCTGCATCTTGGGTCCTAACCTCCTGCTCTCACCGTGACAAATGTCTAGTTTTTAGTCTAATCGGATGTTTCCTGGTCAGCCATCTTTAAATATTAATATTAAATAATGCAGCTAATCAGACTTTGTCGTTTTTGCTCCTCTTGTTATTTTGTCCATGATTTTTCTACGATTGCATGATGGGTAGAATTATTTGGTTTTTGCCTCTTAACAAAACTAAAATGCAACCAAACACTGATCCAAGTTGTCACCTTGTTGTTTTTAAGTTGAGTGAATGAGTTCCTTGTAAAAGGACAGGAGTATTTATGAAAGGTAGAGCGGTGATGCAGACGTTGGTGTCGTGTTTGGAGTCTAATGTGGTTTTTGTTCCTCTGGGTCCTGAGGGCTTCTGAGAGGCTCCTCGTATTCTGATCCCGATGATGATGAAGATGATGAGTAGAAATTTTCGCGCTAGCTCTATAGCTCTGAGAGGGTAGACCTACTAATGAGCTAATGCTTTCCTTCAGGCTGGAGAGTTCTTAGGTAATTGACCTCTGTTCCAGAGCTCTCAGATGGGTTCTGCGTTTTGCATTTATATTTCTCCTCGGGAGCTCTAGCCACCTCCATCTTGAAGTCAGATTTCTCTCACCCTCTCTGATCATGGAACACATCTGAACTTCAGCTGATACAGTCGCTGAACTCTGACCCTTCTACTTCTCCCTTCTTTCTCCAGATCAGGGCGCCGACAGGCCCGAGACATGCCGAGCTGCTCCTCCCATCTACGGAGGCAACGGGGAACTGCTGTCTCCCAGACTTGGGGTGCTGGGAGGTCGGATGGGTCTGGGGATGGAGGGCGATTTGGTGTCGCCCCTCTTGATGGCCCAGGTCCACATTGACCCATCCTGTCTGCACCCAGACCTGCTGACTGAGGTGCAGCATGTGGTGATCGCCAGGGAGCAGCTGCTGCTCCACCTTAACCAGGTCATCGGCCGAGGTAACCCGTCAGGCCAACACCAACAGTTTTCCTGCTGAAATTAAGGTTTCTCTTATTTTATACCTCCTCTTTCAAAGTGAACACGCTCTGAGATTTTAAATGACAACATCAGTGAAGTTTAAACAGCACCAACATGACGGCTCTTTCACAGCAGCACAGATGAACAGTAATCCCTCCCCCCGACCCTAACTAGGTAGCCGGATGTAGCCAAGGCCGAAGGTTCTGAGAGCGACACAAACTTGTTTTATTTAATGTAGAAACAGAATCACCTTTGTGTGATTATGCTGCTCAGACCCACTGGTCAGTTTTAATACCCTAAAGGAGAAATCAGCACCTACTGTAGCACCGCCCGCCTGGTTGATCCCCTGAAGCCTGGATTTGTTTTTCAAAGGTGTGTGGAATGATTTGTTCACAGCTAGAATTCCCAGGGTCCATTGTTGTAACCCAACACCCTCAGCCATCTGCAGGGACGTGATACCAGAGCGCCCCGCTTATTTCATCCCCGGCTGCGGTGAGCCCCCGTGTCCCAAATAAGAGACATTGTTCAATAAAATGCACAATAAGTCACAGTGGGGTTAACACTGGTTGTTAACTTGTTTGGGGTTTTGATGAAGAAAGCTTGGTGCTGGGTTTCTGGGATGGAGCAGAGGTAGTGTGACTGAAACTTGAGAGTTTGCTGTTTAAGGCTTGAAACACATAAAGGAGCTGATTTCCATCCAAACACCTTGATCCTGCTGCTTGAGACGCCCACATGTCTGAAGCTGCTGCAGCCCTGGAGCTGTTGCTCTAAGATAAAATGACTAAATGTTAAAGTGGAAGTGTGATTGCACAGGTTCAGAGTGTGAGCGACGTGGCTCGTTCAGAGGCTGCTACAGACTTGTGTCCATGTATGGGTGAGAGTTAGAAACTGCCTCCTACTCATGAGATCTGTGAGTGCGTTGGGAGCTGAGCCTGAGGCCTCACATAAAATCACATGCAGTGGAGGAGAACTGATTGTTAGTGATACTAGTTCATGATAAAAAAGTGACCATCCTAGAACCAAGACTATGTGGGCTGGAAGTGTTTATGAAGCCCATCACAGGTTTGAACATGACCCTTTGAACTCTGGATTCTGGCTGATTGTGACTAATTCTGCCCGTTGTAACCTGCAGGACACTTCGGTTGTGTTTTCCATGGGACGCTGCTGGAGGCCGACGGGCAGAAGCAGCACTGTGCCGTCAAGTCCTTAAACCGTAAGTAAATGTTTCTTATATTTGGTAGGTGCTCATGGCCGCTGATGCGCCAGAGGGAATCACTTCTCAGCGAGGTGGTGGCGTAAGATTTGGAGACGCTTCAGGACTGCGGTCTTTGTGTGATGAGTGGTTCTTAAGGCAGAGTGGTCTCCATCATTGACGGCATTGACTTTTTTATTATTTAAAAAATGTATCTTTTGTGACAAAGTGCCAATAACGTTGACCCGGGAGTTTCCAACGTGTCTCCAAGCGTTTGTGAGACCTGTCGTTTTTCCTGAACGAGTCTCTGGGATTTACGGTCATCTTCAAAGGTCCTGCAGGTCAAATTTCCTGACTTATAATGACATCTATAAAAAATGTTCAAAAACATGATGCTAAGAAAAGACCAAAATCGATTAAAAACTCTACTACAGTCCCACACGGTTACTGTTACTGAAATGAACTACCACATCTGCTTTAGTCTGTCGTGATTTTTCCCCCCTAAACTACGATTGAATACATCCTGTTTATGTTCATCTGAAGTTGTGTTCCTCTCCCTTTACTACCAGAAGTGTCTTTATTTTGTCCTGATACCTCAAACCTTCAAATTGGAAGAAAGGTGGGTTTTTAAACCATGACAACCAACAATTTACACCGACCACAGCTCAGCACACTCTTGTCCTGTTGGAGTGTGTCCATGTCCACCCACCGCTCCTCAGTCCTGCCTACTCCTTCTCACGCCATCCCCTGTAGCATCATGGGTCTCATCTGAGCCAAGCCCGAACCGCTCTCAGCTTGAGCTAATGGTGATGAATGAGGGTTGGATGGAGAGGACGACATTAGGGTCCTGCCTAATCTTGTAACCTGTCATCTGGAGCAGGAAGATTGATGCTGGAACAATGTGGAGAGAAGACCCACACAGTCACAGGGAGCCACCATCCAGTGGGAGGAGCCTCCTGGGGTCTGGTCTGCAGGGACCGGAACCTTTTGTTAGATTTATTTTTTATTAAACTTTTGGGGTTGCTCCTAGAATGAAATCTAAATGTAATTGTGGCAGTTTTCTAAAACAAAACATTGCCTACCAAAATAAAAGCAGGGTAACGAGATCCCCTGTCTAAGGTCTCACAGTCTCTTTGATGGTAAGGTTGTGTTACTTTGTTCAACATGAGTCATCTGTCAGCGTTTAGGGAGCGCTGGTCAGAAACAGACTCATGTTCTTGTCAACAGACACTCTGAGGTGTTAGCTAGGAGATCAGAGGACGTTGGTGCCCCATTCTTGAGCTGATACTTTTGTTTAGCAGTCTCTAAGACTTTTTGAAAACAAAATAACCATCATCATTCTGTAGGAGATAACGCTTCATCTTGCTTGTTCTAATAAGTTAATAAATGATTTCCCTTTCAGAGTTTTTGAAACCAGAAATTGTTGTTCTCTGTCTGTCTTTGGGCTGTGACCCCAGCTGAGAGCTAATTGGACACCTAAAGAGCTTCCATCTCAAACCAGATTATGGCACAGTCAGAGAGGCTTAAGTGTAGGGCACCAGGGGCAGGGATGCATTTGGAAAATGGATGTGGGTGGGCTTTCTTCAGTTAGGTGTCCATCTTTATTCTATTTCCCCAAAGGTATCTGAGAAACGACCTTAACACTGATGTAGCACAGTAACACTAACACAGCCAGAAACAGTCTTTTCTTACATCTGGTTACTGAAAACTTTAAAAATAAAAAATCCAATCTTAAGCTCCTTTAAACCCATTTTTCGGACTTGTTTTCTTTTAAAAGGCATAACAGACTTGGAGGAGGTGTCCCAGTTCCTCAAAGAAGGCATCATCATGAAGGACTTCAGCCATCCCAACGTTCTCTCTCTGCTGGGTATCTGCCTTCCTCCTGAGGGCTCACCGCTGGTGGTTCTGCCCTACATGAAGCACGGCGACTTGCGAAACTTCATCCGTGATGAGGCACATGTAAGGGCACGCACTGGTGCAACCAGGGAGCCGTTCATGTGTGCCAGAGTTTTTAGATGTCATATAAGAGAACAATGACTGTCTTCCAGAACCCAACGGTGAAGGACCTGATGGGGTTTGGACTCCAGGTGGCCAGAGGGATGGAGTATCTAGCCAGCAAGAAGTTTGTTCACCGAGACCTGGCTGCCAGGAACTGCATGTGAGCTCACCTTTTAGTGACTTTGAACCCTAACCCTACAGGAGTGATGACACTAAACATCCAGGGAAAATGTAATGATGTTTCTTTTTCTAACAGGCTGGATGAGAGCTACACGGTAAAAGTGGCAGACTTTGGCTTGGCAAGAGATGTTTATGACAAAGAATATTACAGCGTCCACAACAAGAGCGGGGTCAAGCTGCCTGTCAAGTGGATGGCTCTGGAGAGTCTGCAGACACACAAGTTCACCACCAAGTCTGACGTGGTGAGGCCTTACACACATCTGTAGTCTGTTTGGGAGGGAAACATCAACAAGAAAGTGTATTCTTACACAAGAGAGGAGGGTAAATATCAGTTGTGCGGTAAACCAGAGTATCATCAGCAAATGTGAGCGCCTCCAGGTCTGGGGCATACAGGTGTGTGTTATTGAAAAGGTTCATGAATAAATCTGCAGCGACTGATTTATGTGAGAGGGACTTAGTGCAAAGAACTTCATGAAGATGTTTTGAATGGACCATAGAACTGTCATAACTTCATAAAGTCAATATTTCCATTTTAAGAAAAGAAAATTTCTCCTCAAAATTGTTGTAGATTTTTCACACATTTCAATGTAGTTAATGGGTCCGAAAGAGTAACACAAGGTATCTTAGGGAGGGATTCAGAACATTTTGAGATAATTTGTGAGCATTAGTTCATGACTGTTTGCTCTTGCGTGGAATGCCCCATGTGACCCACCTGCAAACCAAACTTCTTTAGAAAGTGTCAGAAACACCAGCTGTTGCATTGTTTCTGCAATTTTATCCCAGCCTATTGCGACACTGACTATTTATGAGTGCATCTGTCTGATGGATAAAACTTGGTCCAAACTGGGCCACGCAACAGGACCGTCATCCTGACCAGGGTTTAGTTTTGTGCTGTGTGGTTTCTTAATGTGTTTTTTTTACCATATTTTAAATTTGTTATCGTCCCTTTGTGATTATGAAAACTTGAGTGCATTATGAATAACTCATACTTTAAAAAGTGATTTTTCCTTCTGCTGTGACCGTGTCATAACGGAAACGTATGATTTGATGGTTTTCCCTGCAGTGGTCGTTCGGGGTGCTGCTGTGGGAGCTGATGACCCGAGGAGCGCCCCCGTACTCCGACGTGAACTCCTTCGACATCACCGTGTTCCTCCTGCAGGGCCGAAGACTGCTGCAGCCTGAGTTCTGTCCCGACACGCTGTGAGTGCATGAGCCTTCTGTTATTTTATAGCTGCTGCTCACCTCAGTCCGCCCAGCGACATGGCTCAGTTGGCGTGAGCGATGTTCGACAGAGCTGAGCTTCAGAACATCCTGATCCGAGACTGTGGTACTGGGACGGAGCAGTGGGGAAACTGGTAACAGAGGAAGAGCTGTGCAAACACTGAAGTCATAAATACAAACCAGTCCAAGTTCAGACTATTCATCACGGTCAGCAAGAGCTACAACTTCATCAGCTGTGGGTCAAGCAGGAGTCACTTCTCTTGTTTAACCTGAAATCCAGCTCAAACATGGCCGTAGACACCTGCTGCTTTGGGACCAGAGCCATGCTGGCTGGTTTTTAAAGTCTGATTTCATGGGATCACTGGGAGGGAGAAAGAGGTGATGTACGCCAGCAGACATTCTTGTAATTCCTACTTCTCCGGGTGCTTCAGGGCCGTCACGACCTGTGTTATTAGAGGCTGCAACAATGAGTGGAGACCTGCATTTGTGACAGGATCCATCAGGTAGCTGTTGAATGATGAAAAGCAGATCACCGTAACGCTGATGTGGACGTCAGGCTTATCTTGTCGGCTTAATTAAAGCCTGTAAGAACATTTCTGCTTCACATCCACAACACCTAACGGAGAATTACGCCTGGAACACACCAGACGCGGAAGCACTGTGGAACGACGAGCGCTTCCAATCGGCGCTCTTTTACGCTCTCGGTCACGTCAGCTGCGAAGCGCCATGAAGGCTCGCGCTGTGCAGCGGTCGCTTTGACGTGAGCTCTAATTTTTTAGTAAGCCACGTCAATTCCGGCATGAAGCCAACCCAAAGCAGAAAAGGCAGGCCGGTAAATGTAAGAAAATAAAAGAAAATTTTCAAAATAAAACACTGTGATTGATATGTGATCATTTTTGTGTACAGCTTTCACAGTTTAACCAGTTTCAATATCATCCACTGGGGGAAATATGGGAGAGGGTTTTTAAGACGCCCCCGACACCACCAACAGGTGAAAAATTAAATAAATAAATCCGTCTAGAGGTCTCATGTCCTGTGTAGACCCCCAGTCAGCTCTTCCCCACTTGTACGATCCGAGCCCGAATGGAGGGAGCCTGACGGGTCGGATCAGACTTGGGCCAATCAATAATCTGAGCTAGGACAGCACAGAGAAAGAGATAGGAGACGAGGACGCGCCTCCAGTGAAATACAGTGGAAGCATCATCATTCATCCATGATCGTAAAGAAACACTAAAATGCAGGCTATGGAGCCTCTGGCGAGCCGGTTTTGGGCTGAAAGTCCGTCAGGTCAGTATAAAGAGAAATTATAATATAGTTTGCTGCGTCAGCCTCTAGACGTTCTTGCTGAACTTTATTCTGCTTCATTAATTCCATCCATCTTCTGAACCCGCTTGTCCACGTAGGCTCGCGGGGGTGGGGGGTGGGGGGGAGGGGTGGGGTGGGGGGGGGGGGGGGGGGGGGATGGTGCCTATCTCCAGCAGTCAACGGGCAAGTAGGCGGGGTACACCCGCCTGTTTTGCCGTCATGTTTTTGGACTGTGGGGGGAAGCCGGAGTACCCGGAGAGAACCCACGCATGCACAGGGAGAACATGCAAACTCCACGCAGAAAGATCCCAGGCCAGGAATCGCACTCAGGACCTTCTCGCTGCAAGGCAACAGCTCTAACCACTGCGCCACTGCGCAGCCCGCTTCATTAATTTCATTGATAAATTCAACTATAAGAAAACTGGGAGCAAACTTTAATCTAACTTTGAGTTAGATGTTTTCCTCGTGTTTGCTTGTTTCTTCTCCTCAGAGACACTGTGGATATAAAGAGATAATAAAAGTCTAAATGTTTGGATGAACAAAACAACAAACATGGCGTGTGTCACATATCATGTTCTGCTCTTCCTCCTCAGCTACACTGTGATGATCGAGTGCTGGCACCCGAAGCCCGAGCGGCGCCCCTCCTTCTCCGAGCTGGTGTCGCGCATTTCTGCCATCTTTTCCAGCTTCAGCGGGGAGCACTACATCCTCCTCAACACCACCTACGTCAACATTGACAAAATGAGCCCCTACCCTTCCCTGCTTGCCTCCACAGCGTCCTCTTCATCCTCCTCTTCCTCTGAGCCTTCTACCTCCTCATCCCTGCCTTCCCGCTCCCCCCTCTTCTGTCACGTGGAGCGCGGCTGCTGCACCTGAGAGTCGCTGAGGCGGAGACAGGGACTCGAACAGAACGGTGGTTTGAGAACTCCTGCTGCGACTTGCCAAACACTGGACTCTGTGTTGAGGAAAAACATTTCTCTCTCGATGTAAATAAACTAGAGACCTTCAAAATGTTGGAGTCCTGCGTTGGGCTGGCCCAGCTGTGCTAGACTTCCTGTGTCTTCTATACAACACAGGAGGCATGTATGAAGATCTCCCTCACCGAAGCACAGGAGGAGACCTCCAGCCTTTGATAGAGCTTCATGAAGATATGGGCATGTGCTGAACTAAGCTTCCAGACTCAGAGACGCTGCTGGGGTGGATTTAGGAGCATTGAGTGAGCAAAGCGAGGCCTGCTGGAGGTCAACGGATGTGAAAGCAGGATGTTTAGAAACCTGCTGCTGTGTTCTGATCACTGGATGCTTTATCGGTCTAATTACCTGTGGACAATCTGCTCTGCAAGACCACGCGGTTGGGATTAAACGTCTCTTGTTTAAACCCAGAACCGGTTCCTGAGTTAGTAAATGATACAGCAAACACATCTCACACTTCTCAGGAAGAAGGAAGATTAAAACATTTTGATTTTCATACATTTAACTGTCCAAAATGATGGAACTAACCCTAACGCCACGTTTTTCTTCTTTTCCCAGTGACAAAATAATTTCAGTCACTTTTCTTCTCAAGTGGACATTTAATAACATTTCTGAGTGACCAGTTTGAAAAAACGGATCTCATTCCCAACAGGATTGATGAGCTAACGGGTTGTTAGAGCAGGACCCGTTTCAACATGGATCCCAGGTGTTTTTAAACACCTCTGAATTAAACTGTTAAACATCCTTTTAGAAGTGATTTTAGTTTGTTACGTAGAGTTTGTAGGTTTTTACCCGGGAGTTGGCCATGGAGCTTCTGCAGTACGTCTACTTCAGTGTGTAACAGTTTTGCTATGTCTGTCTACGTTTGCAGGATTTGTTTCAGAATAATTAAGGACAGAATCAGCTAAAATTCACTTAACCGTCACTGCTTTGACTAGCCGTTAGCTCATCTGTCTGATCATAACTTATCTCTGTTTCTTCAGACTGAGGTCGTTCAAACAGCTCCCATAGATAGGTTTAACCCATCTGCAGTAACTGAACTGTCCCTTTAAGCCCTTTGTTAGTCCAGGACTCATCCTGTGCTAGGTCAGATGGAATCTGGATTTCTAACTACTAAAGGCTCTGCTCCTGGTGCTCTTAAAGGGACAGTACCACCAAAACAACAAAATTTCCCTCTGGGATTAATAGTTTCTTTGAATATGTTGATTTTAGGTGTTCGTCAGACTTCTGGATGTTAACTTCGAGAGTTCTTGTTGTTGAATATGACTTGAACTGACTTCTGAAAATCACCAAAGCTCCTAAGAGTTACTTTACGTCCAAGTTTCCAACCATTCACTCTCATTCTATAAATCAGGGGTATTCTTTTCCGGGCCTGGAGGGCCGGTATCCAGCACGTTTTAGTTTTAACCATGTTCCCACACTATTTGCAACAACGAATTGATAAATTCGATGAAAATCGATTACTAAAAGCGTTGGCAACGAATTGCGTCATCGATTCGTTGTGTCACACAACTCTTCCAAAAGCGCCCCCCCCCCCCCCCCCCCCCTTCCCGCCCGCCGTTGCGCGCAGACCAGAGCAAGTCAGATCAGCGCGAGGGAGAGCCGCAGATCAGCGCGAGGGAGAGCCGCAGATCAGCGCGAGGGAGAGCCGGCAGATCAGCGCAAGGGAGAGCCGGCAGATCAGCGTGAGGGAGAGCCGGTAGCGGCAGATCAGCGCGAGGGAGAGCCGGCAGACTTGCGCTGCTGCGAACCGGTTCCGCATTGTTGCACAGCGATCCAGGCAGCTGCTTCCAGCGCACGGTCCATTCTCAAAGTGGCGCAACCAAAAAACTATAATTAGCACACGATCGTTCATGTCCGCACATGTTCTCTATTTTCTGTCTTATTTGTGCCTGAAGCGCGCTACTGCGGAGCTCATCACCTGTGCTGTGGTGATGTCACCTCACGCAGCATCGAAAACGCGCTCTGCGCTTTTCGGTCAGGAGATCCCTTTGACCTGCTCAAAAGTAACTGATGAGGTGAAAAAGTAAGAATCCAGGCAACAGATTTTCTGGAGAATTAAGAGGAGATGCAGGAAGATGAGAGACAGACAGGACAGGAAAATAGTTCAATAAAAACAAGAAAACAAAACAAAGTGTTGAAAAGTAAAATGTAGGTAGATTTATCTCCACTACACGTTTTTACCTGTATAAAACAATAAGTTATACACATGTCATATTTATACATCTGATACAATTCAGATCACCTTCAAAACTCAGTCACACACCCAGGGCCGTTTCAAGACATTTTGGGGGCCAAGGCAAAATCCCCCCCCCCCCCCCCCCCCAATAACTGGGCTCCCCAGAAGCCTCTGTGTAATTCAGTAGTGTTAGTTATATGGTGTTTATAAAAGCCCCTCAGACATTACTGACATGTTCTAATATTATCAGATGAAAAACTAACTTATCAGACACGCTGTCTCATCTGCTGCTTTTCTAAACTTGCAAAAAGTAACAAAACCATTTGAAAGCCACTATTTGTGGATTCTCTGAAAGTTTCCATGGAGTTTGTGACAACTTATTTTTTCATTGATCCTATCGTCTAATCTCACAGCTGAAACAAGCATCCTTAATAATCTGTGCACAGGAAGCTTACCGATGCTGTAGTAAAACAAAAGGTATAATAATTTATTATTAATAAAACCTTGTTGCAGCACTAAAGCAGAAAAATTAGATTTTGCATTAAATATGCAAAATATTTACATATGAATTGTTTTAGAGCCCTTTTATTGGCAGAATCTGATATTAATTTAGTTCTTACAAAAAATGGGTCCCAACATGGTTTGTGTGGCGTTGCCATAGTGTGACATCATAGGCACAGATCCCCTGTCCTCTTGTTTGGAAATGGAAATATGGTCACCCTATTAAACAAACTGTCCACCCGGGCTTTTGCGCCGCACAGAGACGCTTCGCTGCCTACGACTGAACGTCAGTTGAGAGTCAGTCTCATTTAGACTGACCAATGAAGAGAGGGCCTCAAGTTAAGACCCTCTCCTCATTGGTCAGTCCACACGAGGTGGGTCAAAGGTTACTCTGGGCGGGTTACGTGTTGTCAGGCATTCAAGTATTGAGTATATTTACTGCATATTACAGTAAAATATTCTGTATGTGACCACATTATGGTGATCCTTGGGTCGTGATGATGGAGCCCTTGAATATTGTTGCCCAGGGTACAACAAAGTGTTAATCTGGCCCTGGTTCCGCCGTCACATTCCCGCAGAAACTGGTTGATCACACCGGGGCCAGACTACTAGCATGTGGTTTTACAACCACAATGTCCTCGGAAGCAAAAACGCTTTTAAAAGGGAGGGAGGAGTCCTAACTGTTGCTGCAGGCGTGTTGTGTGAGAGTGCAGTTATATACTGGTTAATATATTTTTGGGTTCAGTTGCTTTCATGTGGCCTAATGTGAGTCTATTTGGGATCATTGGAATGATCAGCAGCATTTCTTGATGTGACTTTATGGCAGTTGCCCAGGGCATCATCGCAAGGAGGATGGCATTCATTTACTTTTGTTTTATTTGGTATTTTTTCAGTCATTTTTGGAAATAGTGATCAATTTTGATTAATTCACAGCCTATGTTTAATTACATTTAAAATAAATGTCAACAGATGAGATCAAACAAAACAGATGAGAATTGCCCTTAAGCTGTTTAACTTGGACCAAGCATTTTAGGTCACAGATAGATGTAGCTTAGGGTCTCTGTCTATACACCTTATAAGACAATTTAGGTGATGGCATGTTGTTTTTCTGCTATTGAACTGTTTTCTAATAATGTTGTGTTAAATAAAGTGAAGGAAGGAGAGAAATAACGTTTCCCTAGCAGTTTTTTAAAATTTCCCCATGTAATCCGATTAATCGATTAATCGTGTCGAGACCCCATCTGATTAATCGATTATCCAAATAATCGTTTGTTGCAGCCGTATCCCACACACCTGATTTCAATCAGCAGGTAATTAGCAGGCTTTTGCAGAGCCCGATGAGCGGCTGCACAGGTGATTCAACCACTGAATGTTGTGTGTTGGAGCCGAGAAACCACTAAAACGTGCTGGATATCGGCCCTCCAGGACTGGACTTGAATACCCTTTCTATAAATGTTGACAAAGTAAGTTCTCATTGGTATTAAAATGACTGTTTCAGCCCTTTCGTGTATGTTTTGGTGTAAACGTTATAAATTAGGACTGTTTTCTTGTTGTAAACAGCTTCCTCAAAAGCCTCTGTTTAGTGAAATAAAGAATGTCTTTCAGGACTGAGTGTGAGTCTCTAGCCCTTTTATAAATATTTACATTACTTACAAATTCATGGTTATTTTGGCAGAAGTATGAAGAAATCCCTGTTATCTAAGCTTTGTAACCAAATTACTGTAAAGCTACGGAGATGGATAAGTAAAGGTTTAGAAAATGTTACATTCTGGGGCCTTGTTGGTGGGTTTTTTTTCCTTCATACCTAAACTAGAAACAACAGTGACATCTGGGTGAGTTAAACACTGATGTTTCCTAACAGAGGCCATTTAGGAAGCTATCTGATGAGAAGGTAGAAATTATTTATATTTTATATTCACAAAAGCACTTCCAAATGGCCTCTGTTGTGATTCTGGCTGATTACAGACTGTAATTTTTCAATACTGTTTTGATTATCATGAATATCGTGTTATGTTGTGATGAAACGAATGGGAATTAACAGCCATCTGATTACCAAACATGGTTGGAGCTTGCCACAAATGGACTTTAAACATGCCTTTGTTTTCCTCGTGCAGGGGGTGTGAGTGGCTGCTGGTCTGTGGGGCTGTTAATGGACATGTATGAATGTTCGCTATGACAAGAAAATTGCTGTACTATATTTTTGTATCCACGATGAGTTTTATCTTTAAACAAAGTCCACCGGAAGGACCAGTGGGGAATGAATTGTGCCACAACAAGCTCATCTGATCAAGCTTTTGTCTCTAAAGCCAAACCACTGCCATGTTGTAAATAGAAAAGGGAGTGCTGTGATATGTGTGGTTGGTCATTCAGCCTCTCATCTGTGTGTGTGTTTTGTTTTTTTACCACATAATTTGTGAAAATCATAAAAAAGTAGAAAAACTGGATCCACCTCACAATATTCAGACTGCTGTCACCTGATCGTTCTCTGGTTTGTTTGTTTGTTCTGTGTCTGCTCCTGAAGGTACCTGCTCATGTATAATGTTAAATAAGGTTTTAACAACATTAAAGCTATACTATCAGATCTGATGCCTACTTTCACATTATTTTGTTGTGCTAGCCATGAATATGTTTATTTTGTCAAGAAAACCCTTTATTCATAGAAACAAGTTCAGAAAGGCTGGATTGTCATTTCTGCATCATGGATCCTTCGTAAATGATTGGCAATTTATCAGCAATTTCTCTCAAAAAAATCTGTTTAAATTTAAAATTGTTTCTGGTTAAAATAACATGACCAAAAGTATTAGTTATTTCGATATGTGCTTGCTTAAACACCAGAATGTTCTGAAGAGTGATGAGATTAAACTATCAATGACAATCCTTTGAATAAATGATCTCTAAACATCCTCCCAGAGGAACTCCTCCAACCATCCAACTGCAGTTTGGTGATGAACGGTGTCTCCAGCATGATGGAGCTTTGAACCAGAAGGATAACATCAGAACCAAGTGGATCAGGAACAGAAAATGGACCTGTTGGGTACAGGTCCAGGAACCTTCCCAGACTGTAATCCCACTGAAAACTTGTAGTCAATCCTCAAGAAGTAGAATCATTAAAAATGTATTGCCAAACTCCAAATGTTGATGTGAAGAATAAGCTGCCATCATTCTGGTCCAGAAGATGAGTAACAGCATGTCAGGTTACCTACAGAGATCTAGGAGGACCACCACTGCAGATATTGATGTTGTGCAAGCAATGTAATTGTCAATTAAACCTTTGTATTTAGCGTCTATGAAACTTTGTTGGGGCTCAAATCCGTTCCTGAACCCTGAGAAATGGCCAGACAACCCCCATAATAAAGCCCTTCAATGGAAAAGGTGGTTTTGGAATATTAAATGAGATGCTAGCTGATTCATGTCTGTATGACAATGAGATATGAAATTATGTGTACAACTGTGTACTGTATCAATATACCTCGATAGAAAATGAATGCCAGATAGATCTACAGAGATCTATCTGGCATTCATTCAGAGTCTGGATATTCCCAGTGCATCCTGTAATGTTACATAAGAGTTCAACTCTGACATTCTTCTTTGTTTCTCTTGTCCAACAAGGACATTAGCTGTAGCTTGGGCAAGCATAAGTAGGGTGGGACCATTGACATATATACTGGACAATTCGTGTCCATAGGCTCGGATTATAGGTTTTTGTGCCCAAATTGGAAGTTCCCGCCACCGCCATTTTGACCTTGTCACAGGTCCCGTCAGGCACAGACAATCCAAAAATGGGAAAAGAGGTGGAGCTACGGGTGGGGCTGTAACGTTTGGAACAGGGTTGGAACAACTACTAGCTA